AATCCTTGAATCCGTGATTTTTGTGTTTTTTTCCGACGCAGCGATCCTGAAAATAACCCCGCCCTCATTAATGCAGCAGAGCCTCAGGGCCGGTCTTTGGTCTTTGGTCTCGGGTCTGAATCCCACCAAACATGAGCCCAGAAACTCAAAGAGGTTCTGGACGAACAAAGACTGAAGAGTAAAAACGACAGTTTCTTGGCTCACAGATGGAAACAGAAACCGGTTTGAACTCGTTTATTCTGACTGTCAACACGAGCAGAGCCACGTTCGCTCACCGGCTGTCACTTTCTTTTTCGGACCCACAGATACGAGCGAGCGTCACTTTTGTCGTCTGACCGTCAGAAAGAGGAAAAGAGAGTTTCTTTTTCCTTCCTGAAGACCAACAGGAGTTTATTTTTCCAGAGTCTTGAGATATTTTTGAATATTTTACAGATGGTTTGATAAAGAACGGGCTTCAGTGTATATTTGTAATAAAGTGTGTTTAATATGTAAATGTTAGTATGGGGGCTACTTAAAGGGAAATGCCACTCGACCTGACAACAGTGTACAGACGATAATCTAACCAGTGAGAGTGCGCTCAGTGTTCATGGGAGACCAGAGAGTTATTCAGTATTACACAGCAGGAAGACGACGACGATGTTCGGTTTGGTGTTTGTTTGATAGTTTCTGATCGTGGGAGTTCATAAATGTGTCGGTAAATTTAACCTCACTGCCAGAGGAACAACCGTTTTAAGATTTTCAGAGAGGTGTTTCCTGAGGTAGAGCTCTGTTCTTTGTTTTTTTTTTAGTTTCCTCTCTCCTGATTTTTCTGTCTGTACATCATTCCAGCTTCTGTGACGGTTTTATAATCGCAGATCTTATTTAGGGTTCAATTAAAGTCAAATTTATCTTTCTATTCGCAGCACAAATCTGTGTTTCTTTCCCTCTCACTGCTGTGTGTGTGTGTGTGTGTGTGTGTGTGTGTGTGTTCAGCTGCAGTACATCATACTGGCCACTAGATGGTGCCGGAACTTTTTTTCTATTCCCAATTCAGTCGATTCACAAGTTTGTTTTTTCACGTCAGAAACTATTTTCTAAATATTCAGTAAATGTTTAAATTCTAAAAGTTTCTTTTTCATCAGACCTTAAAAAAACAAAAGTGTGAGACGGACGAGCAAAACTTTGAAAATAATAATTTCAATAAGAGAGTAAATTTAATATTTAATATAAGTTAATATACAGGAACTTTTTTTAATAAACAGGAACTTTACGTCTTGATTTGATTGGTGACGACTGTCACGTCATTTTCAGCCAATAGGATCCTCCAGACGATCATTTAGAGAAAATCTAAAGATGATTATTTGAGACCAAAGTCCTGATGGATATTCTAGAAAAAGAACTTTTAAAAGTTTTTAAAGTTAAACTTTTGTGTTTGAGATCATTTCAGGTAAAACGAGTCGCTGAGTTCGTTTCTAGATCCGGAGACTGTCTGCCCTGAAACACAGTCATCCTGCTACAATAATGTTTATGATGGACGATTACAAATGAATTAATAATTACTGACACTGATCATTCATTCACCTGTGGAGTGGGCGTGTCCAATCAAAGCTCACCTGTTCCTCCTTTAAGGTTTGGTCTGGTTTTGGGTTCCTGGTTTTGGGTTTCCACTGTGTCGACTTTCCTCCGTCAACAATTTCATTAAAAATATAAATCGACTCTCATCGACCGTTTAATCGGTTTACTTGAACTGCATTTGTTCTCCTCAAAGAAAACCTTTTTTTTTCTCTCGTAAACAAACTGAATCTGATCGGAGTTTTAAAAATCACCTTTAAACTGTGAGGAAGTGAAAAAACTCTGAAATTAAAACAATAATTAAAACTCTGATTGGAGGAAATTCAAACTCTCTCGGAGTTAAAATCGTCGTCTTCTTCTCCAACCTCGTTTTTGATAATGTTTTTGATAACCCACCTCGGTGGGTTTGACCTTTTCCTCCGGGTGGAAACACCTCCGGTCCTGCTGGTCTGTCCCCTGAACTCATTAGATCTTCTCTGAGGGACTCTGGTCCTCTCTGGTCCTCTTCATCAGACCACATGAGGACTAGTGTTGTGTCGTTCATGGACGATTCGTTCAAAAGAACTTCTGAGTGAACGACCTGAACTGAATCACTCTGAGACCTGATTGGTTCCTTTCTCAGTTCCTGGCGTGCCGGTCGGGAGTGGAACTTCCGCCTCTGACTCTTTGGTGAACGACAGCAGGTCTCTCAAGTCTCACGCTTTTGACGTGTGGCACACGCATTCCAACCGTTCACACGTTCACACCTGGTATTTCTCAGGCATGTAAATGACCACGGTCACATGCACCAAGTTACACCACCGCCCAGAGTTCAGAAGCTGCGTGCCACGCGAGAACCAACCAAATAAAATATATTTATTTCATAATATAATATATGTCTATTTAGAAGATAAATTTCTCATTTATTCTTCTTAAAGTTCTGACACTCATGTCAAAGTAACGCTGATGTACCAAAGGATGAAGTCTCTCCGTGTTTCTTAAACTGAAGTAAAATTCATCTCAATTCTCCACAGCCTCATTTTAACAACTCTCCTCTAAAATAACAGGAAACTTTACGACGTTAATCTCATAAATTAACGACTTTAATCTCATAAATTAATGACTTTAATCTCATAAATTAATGACTTTAATCTCATAAATTAACGACTTTAATGTCATAAATTAATGACTTTAATCTCATAAATTAATGACTTTAATCTCATAAATTAATGACTTTAATCTCATAAATTAATGACTTTAATCTCATAAATTAATGACTTTAATCTCTAAATCTCAAATGTTTTTTTTTTTCTTAATTCTCTTATTCTTATTATACTAAAACATTATCCACACACACACACACACACACACACACACACAGAGTGATCGGGTGGGCGGAGTCTCGTGATTCACTCACAGCCAATGAACGGCCTGTATCAGACTGTGACCTGATTCAGAGGAGGGGGGGGGGGGTGTAACGTCGTTCACTTCCTGTCGAGCGGCGGTTGGTTGGCTGAAATAAAACAGGTCATTATGGCGCCTTTACATTAAAACACGTGTTTAAACTTTCCTGTAAGAAGATTTAATTTCAGACGATTTAAAGAAATAAGATATTTGATATCTTTAAAGTCTCTGAATCCTCGCTACAGCTGACATCTTTATTCAGTTTTAATCTCGCCACTTTTCCGACATATAAAAGAACGACAACTCGAGCTCGTTTAGCGGCGTGCTGCTCGCTGCTGTGTTGTTTCCGCCGACAGACGGCGACACACAGAGAGGTGAGTTTTTCAGGGCGGGGGAGTGATTCTTCCTTCAGGACTTGGCAAATGAACGACATGAGTCACCCAGTGAACGACGCTGTGACTTCAGCAGCAGGGGAGGGGAGGGGCTAATGAACGAACTCGCCATCAGCACCGCTGTGTCACTCATTGGTGTACTGCAGCGACAGGGCGGGGCTCCGAAACACTGACTGATTCAGTGAACGAATCTTTTGAATGAACCGTTTCTAAAGATTCAGATCAGTCAAAAGAAGTGAACTTCTCATCACTAATGAGGAGCGGACACTCCGTCTCCTCGCGCCTCTTAAAGTAGCTCACACGCGCTGCTGTGTTCACGTTCACCATGGTAACGCCCAGCTGTTTAAGAGGTCAGCCTGCACGCGCTCGCCTCACTTCCTTCCTGAGACCCTCAGAGAGATGAACTCCTCTGAAGACCCCCGGACCATCTTCATCTCCAAACTGACGCCCACCGCGGACATCTGCGTGGGACTGACCATCCTCTCCGTGGGTCCGTGAGTTTATTTATTATCTTTATTTATTAGTTTTTATTTTAATTCTGAGTTTATTTCTGTACTAAAGTTCAGACCGCGAGGACAAAGGGATTAGGATTAGGTAATCTGAAACTATTACGACTATAAAAACACTTTTATTTTTATAAAAACACTTTAGTTAAAAATCCTCTCAGATCTTTATTTCTTCTTTAAATTCTGATCACTTTACCAAAGAGGAGAAAACCGTTTATTTAAATACAATAAACCTGAAAAGTGTGAATGTCTCTTTATAAATGAACTCTGGTTTATATTTTTACCTCCTGATGAAAAAAAGGAAGAAAATGTTCAAATAAAAACTGGATAAAAAGTCTTTTCTGTTCTCTGAGCTTCTGTAATGAAGGAGTTCGATGAACTCTTTAATAAATCTGAGAAAAAGGTTTAAAAGACAGAAACAGAAACTTTTTTTTGTTTTTGTTTTCTGATTGTGAGGAGCTGATGTCTGTTTGTTTGTCTGTTTGTTTGTTTGTTTGTTTGTTTGTGTGTTTGTCTGTTTGTTTGTTTGTTTGTCTGTTTGTTTGTTTGTTTGTTTGTTTGTTTGTCTGTTTGTTTGTTTGTTTGTTTGTCTGTCTGTCTGTCTGTCTGTTTGTTTGTCTGTTTGTTTGTCTGTCTGTCTGTCTGTCTGTCTGTCTGTTTGTTTGTCTGTCTGTCTGTCTGTCTGTCTGTCTGTCTGTCTGTCTGTCTGTTTGTCTGTTTGTTTGTCTGTTTGTTTGTCTGTCTGTTTGTTTGTTTGTTTGTTTGTTTGTTTGTTTGTTTGTTTGTTTGTCTGTCTGTCTGTCTGTCTGTTTGTTTGTTTGTTTGTCTGTCTGTCTGTCTGTCTGTCTGTCTGTCTGTCTGTCTGTCTGTCTGTCTGTCTGTCTGTCTGTCTGTCTGTCTGTCTGTTTGTTTGTTTGTCTGTCTGTTTGTCTGTCTGTCTGTCTGTCTGTCTGTCTGTCTGTCTGTCTGTCTGTCTGTCTGTTTGTTTGTTTGTTTGTTTGTCTGTTTGTCTGTCTGTCTGTCTGTCTGTCTGTCTGTCTGTCTGTCTGTCTGTCTGTTTGTTTGTTTGTTTGTTTGTTTGTTTGTCTGTTTGTTTGTCTGTCTGTTTGTTTGTTTGTCTGTCTGTTTGTCTGTTTGTTTGTTTGTCTGTCTGTCTGTCTGTCTGTCTGTCTGTCTGTCTGTCTGTCTGTCTGTCTGTCTGTTTGTTTGTTTGTTTGTTTGTCTGTTTGTTTGTCTGTTTGTTTGTCTGTCTGTCTGTCTGTCTGTTTGTTTGTTTGTCTGTTTGTTTGTCTGTTTGTTTGTCTGTCTGTCTGTCTGTCTGTCTGTTTGTTTGTTTGTCTGTTTGTCTGTTTGTTTGTTTGTTTGTTTGTTTGTCTGTCTGTCTGTCTGTTTGTTTGTTTGTTTGTTTGTTTGTTTGTCTGTTTGTTTGTCTGTCTGTTTGTCTGTTTGTCTGTTTGTTTGTCTGTCTGTCTGTTTGTTTGTCTGTTTGTTTGTCTGTCTGTCTGTTTGTTTGTCTGTTTGTCTGTTTGTCTGTCTGTCTGTTTGTCTGTTTGTTTGTTTGTTTGTTTGTTTGTTTGTCTGTTTGTTTGTCTGTCTGTTTGTTTGTCTGTCTGTTTGTTTGTCTGTTTGTCTGTCTGTCTGTTTGTTTGTTTGTTTGTTTGTCTGTTTGTTTGTTTGTTTATTTGTTTGTTTGTCTGTCTGTTTGTTTGTTTGTCTGTTTGTTTGTTTGTTTGTTTCCTCAGAGATGAAGTTTAGGGCTGACAAAGACTCTTTTTTCAGAGTCAGATTTATTCATTTATTTTTCTGAAATGGAAAAACACAAAAAAACCTCAGATCTGCGTTTGTTCCTGTCAGAGTCAGATTTATACAGCAGGTGTTTTCTCGTCTTCATCATGATCCTGTTACTAAATCAACAAACACTCACAGGAACCGTCTCCAACTGAAAAATACAGATTTATGAAGACGTGAAGTAGATGGACGAACTTTTCTGTTTCTAACAGGTTCATTCAGAAGTTAAACTGAGGGTAAAAGTTACTGAAGGTTCATATTTATTTCATATTTATTTCATATTTATTTCATATTTAAAGTAAAAGAGAAACACGAGTCAACAAAGTGACACTAATGTCACGTTAATATTCTCTCTTACCGCCGCCGGCTCCTCCTGGAGGTGTTAAAGGTTATTGTCGGTACCGTCCTGCTGTTCTGCAGATCGTCTTTCATCATCCTGACCAATCGTCACCCTGAGGTGTCGAAACAGGAAGTTCATTGAAAGTGAAAAACCTGTGGGTGTGGCTGTGGGTGTGGCTGTGGCGGCGGCGAGCGTTGAAACTGAATCATACATGGATTAGGTGAACGAGATCTGAAAGATGGTCATGATGCTGAACAATGGCGGTCCCTGTCCAGAACATATGGTTCTGATCCAAACATATGTGTCGTCATGACGACCAGGTGGTCCGCTCTGAAAACTGCCCCCCCCCCCCCCTTGTTTTTCTCGTTTCCTCAGATCTTCTCGTCTTTATAGTTTCAGTAACTTTTCTGTTTTTCATCTGAATATTAGAGAAGATGTTTTGGTTTCATTTTCTCCACGTTACAGTTTTTTTTTTAATGATCCAAACTGTTTTCTCTTCTTCTGCTCTAGTTCTGCTCTCGGTTCTGGGAAACGGGTTGGTTCTGGTGATTTGTTACCGGCGGAGGAAGAAGATGATGGGTTCAGAGCTGCTCTGTGTTAACCTGGCGGTGGTGGACTTCCTCTGCTGCGTCTGCTTCTACCCGCTCTCCATCCTCTCCTCCTTCCACCACGCCTGGCTCGGAGAAAACATCACGTGTGTTTACTACGGCCTCGGCTGCTTCATTTTTGGACTGTGCGGCATTTTCACCATCACCGCCATCAGCGTCATCCGCTACCTGAAGACCTGCTACAGCTTAGTTCACGGTAAGAACCGACTTTCTTCACGAGGTGTTTACGAAGAGTTTAGGGCAGAAAAGGACGAGGAAAAGAAAAGCTTCAACGACGTCTGAATTCATCCGTCTGTTTGAATCACTTCTGTTGATCGTTGTCTGAACATCCGACCTTCGAGTTAAAGTTCGAGTTCTAGTTAAAGTTCGAGTTAGAGTAAAAGTTTGAGTTGAAGTTCGGGTTAGGGTTAAAGTTCAAGTTAAAGTTCAAGTTAAATTTGAGTTTGAGTTCTAGTTCGAGTTCTAGTTAGAGTTAGAGTGAGAGTTGAAGTTAAAGTTCGAGTTAAAGTTCGAGTTCTAGTTAAAGTTCGAGTTAGTTTTATAGATTTTTCATCCTGAAGCCTCGTCTGAGTCCAAATGAAAAAGTTAGTCCACAAACTGATTTTTGTTTTTCCAACTTTAAAAAATATGTTTCTGGTATTAAATCAGTTTAAATCTGTTTTAAAAAACAATGACATTTTTAAAGTGCTTTGTCTTTAAATTATTACAAAAATAGATTTTCAGTAATTCTCACAAAATTAAAACTCGACTTTGACTAAACCTCCGAACTTTTCTGAACTTTTGGTCAAAAAACTCAATAATTCTGAGTGTTTATTAGATCATTTTACAGGAGTTAAATCTGTGAATACTTTCTTCTAAAAATACCAGCAGATGAGCGCAGACATGTTCTTTATTTTCACACCTGAATCCTTCGATGATTTGTAAACCTGATAAATCTGACATTTTAAACCTGATTTATTAATCTGAGGACAGAAACGGTGAAAATTTAATCGCCTGATTCTTTATTTTAAACATGAAATCAGATGAAATAAAAACACTGAACTGTCCAGTTGAATGTTTCTCTGAACTGACTCGGGTTTTCGTTCTCGTCTCTTCAGCGGTCTGGTTGGAGGGGACTAACCTGCGGGTCGCCTGCTGTGCGATCTGGCTCGTGGCCGTTGTTTGGTCGAGCTTCCCTCTGATTGGCTGGGGCGAGTATGTTCCTGAACCTTACGGACTGTCCTGCACCATCGCTTGGAGAGGATATCATACCTCAGCCAAAGATGCTTTCTACGTCATCTGCTCCTTCGTCTGCTTCACTCTGGTTCCTGTCCTCTTCATCGTGGTGTCTCAGTGTCAGATCCTCTACAGAGTTTCCCGTTTTTCTTACTCGCTGTCAGCCAGAGGAATCCGCAACAACCTGCGGCACACGGAGAGACGCCTCTCTGTGGTGAGTGAACAGAGTTTTGATTGGTTATGAACCACATGGTGAGACCTCCGCTTCTTTCTTTTTAGTGGGTATTTTCACGTCACGACGTCCTGGATTTGAGTCCTGGACTCCGTTTCTCTGAATTTAAAACTTTAGTTTGTCTGAAACCCAAAAACCAAAACCTTCGGTTTTAAAGTCTGAGACGGACGACCTTTTGTGACTTCAGGAGATATTTTATGACTGAAAACAAAATTGTCTGGAAAAGTTTTCAAAAATAGACGGGAGGTTAAAAAAATCCAAAGAGAAGTTTTCAAATATTCGTGGATCAGTGTGAGATTCACTTTGACTTCAGAATCGTTTTTCTGTTCTTTTCCTTTATTGTTTGACCTTTGAACCCTGATAAAGCGTTGATCATGTGGCTGTTTTACAGGAGAGGTTCTCTGGAGATGGTTCGGTCCAGTTTCTCCTCAGGTTTCTCTCGTCTCTGTGTCTGAGGTTTAGTCCTGAGACGTAATCCCCGTTATTCTTGGGTTTGGACCGTTCAGAACAAAGTATTGAACAGAGTGTTCTGGTTCTGGCCCTGTTTGAGATTAAACACACGTGTTATAATCTGTAATCTGTCACTTCCAGATGTTTTTCTGCATCAGCCTGGGTTTTCTTATCGCCTGGGCGCCGTACGCCGTCGTCTCCTTCCTCTTCATTTTCCATAAAGAGGGGCGGTACATGGCTCCTGAGGGTTTCGTCTTCCCCGCCCTTTTCGCCAAGAGCTCCCACATCTACAACCCCTTCATTTATTTCTACTTTAACAAGACGTTCCAGCAGGAGCTGCGGGGTCTGCTCCTCTCCCTGTGGCCAAAGATCGGAGGAAATCGAGTCGGCGTTCAGGTGGTGTCGGCTAACCAAGCCCCTTACCCCATCCACATCCAGCTCCAGGAGAGACGCAAAGAGATCCAGAAGACCAGTTTTGGTTTGTCTCAGGAAAAAACTCACAGCAAGAGCAACGGTCGAGGTGGAGGTGGAGGTCGAGGTGGAGGTGGAGGTGGAGGTCGAGGCGTGCGCGCCAGCAGCAACAGTTTCCAGGACAGACAGGTGTTCACCTGCTGGGGGTCCTCGTCCAAGAACATCGCCCCCCTGTTTGGGAGTAAATCTGCCAAAGACTCTCTCCCGGTCTCCATATGAACTTTTGAGGTTTTTTACCTCATTTCCTTCAAATTGATCATTTTCATGTGGATCGATACGGTTCAAACCGATTCTCCATGACTGACGGGACAAACGCTCGGCTGCTGTCGTGATTTAATCGTGTTTGTGTCGTAAGAAAAACTGATGGACGTAAAAAAACAAAAACAATGATCAGCTGATTTCTTCAAAACTGAGAGAGAAACTGTCGTAACACTGAAAACTGATTTTCATCGTGTCTGTAAATGATTTTGTCTCTTTGTGATGATAATATTTAAATTATGATCATTTTTACCCACAGTTCTTCACTCTCTCGTTACTTAACGAGCTCAAAGAAACACCTGCTGAGATCTGTCATCGTCTTCTCTGGTCTGTTCAGGTCTCTTTATTCTTCTGCTGTTATGTGTGTAGTTACTCCTGTGTGTGTGTGTGTATATACTGTTATATACTGTGTGTACAGACATATATGTGTGTGTGTGTGTGTGTGTGTGTGTATATACTGTGTGTTAGTGATTAGTTTGTGTTATTGGACAGCAGTGTGGTGGTTCACGGTCAGGTCTGTTTTTAACTCACATTGAGTTCAGATGTTCTGACTTCTTGATTTTATAATAAAGATTTTTGTTTAAAGTATAAAACACTAAAATAAATCACGTCACTGTTATTTACTTGATCAGTTAACATTGACCGTCTCTCAGTCCACCTGTTTAATCTTCTATCAGTCCTGATTTATTTCTTTTTCTCTCACATTGAGACGTTGGTTTAAATATGTATTTCTATATTGTACAATAATTGAAAATAATTATAAATCCACCTTAAACACCATTTATTTCTGATTGTTGGAGTTTTCTGGTTTAAAGAAGATCTTTAGATTTTTATTCCGTTCATGTTCTCGATCTCTGATGATTGAATGACTGAAAAATCTGAAGAGAAATCAATTTTCCCAAGAGAACAGAGCGAGCTTCACCTCATCTGTTGATGAGCGATTTAACCGCTTCATTCATGTTAATGTAAACTCACTGATTCATCTGGAGCTCCGTCTCTCTAAAGATCTCAGTGTCCTTCACCGAGGAAGTCATTACAGAGCGACGCTGAGAGGAAACGATTATGTCTAAAATACATTTACATGTATTTCTCATGGCTGGACCAGTTTTCTTCTTCTTCACAAACGTTAAAAAACAACAACAATAAAAATCATAAAGCCGTTAATTTTCATTTTCTTCTCATGAGGATTTTTATGAACTGTGTTACAGAAAGTCTGTTTTCATGGTTTCACTCCCCGCTGCACTTAAACTGGCCGTACTGGGAGGAGGGACACTCACACTGGTCTTCATATACTATTAAAAATGTGTCTTTATTATTGACCTCTAATAACCTTCTCTTCACATCTGCAGGAAACGATCCTGTAAAGAGACAAATTCAATGTTTTTGTTTGATCAAAGTTTCCGTTTAGGGCCGAGTTTGTTTTCCTCTAATTTTGTCTCTAATTTCTGCAGATTTAACTGCAGCTGAAAAATCATTATTAACAAAGAGAGGTTTATATACAGAGAGGTTTATATAAAGAGAGGGTTAATATAGAGAGAAGGTTTATATACAGAGAGGTACAGAGAGGGTTATAGAAAAGGGAGGTTTCCACATTTTCATCAGTTTTTAATAATAATAATAATAATAATAATAATAATAATAATAATAATAATAATAATAATGATGCATCAGATTTCATAGAGCGTTTTATCAGAGACCCTCAAAGCTCTTTACATTGGATACATCATTCATTGGCTCACACAGTCACAGTCTTCACTCGTATATTCATGTGTTTGCGTCAAACCTGGTCGATTGTCACTCATAATAAAACTACTTTTACAAACAGATTCTAAAGAAAAGAGACAAACGTCGTCTTTGAAACGCCACAAATAGATAAATTTTCCACTCTGAGGACACGGAGAAACAATAAAGAGTTTCTCTGAAAGGCTTTTGAAAATAATCAGTGAGGTGTGGTTTGGTTTTTGTCCGAACGCCATAATTATGTAACCTGGTGATAAAAGGACGCCTTAATGAGTGAAGCTGCAGAATGTTTTCTCTGTTTTCTAGATTTAATTGGATTGATTCAATGAGCTGTCAGAGATTTTACCCTGGTGACACACTCAACCCGCTCCAGAATTTAGTGTAACTGAGAAATACAAACAGACTCGGCCTTTTAAAGACGGTTTGATTGAGAGTCTGTTCAGACAATCCTGCAGCTCAGCGTGAAAAAGAGGAATTCTGGGTATTAAAGACGAGAAGACTTCAGTGAACTGACAGAAACGGTAGTTTTGAACTTGTCTTCAGACATCTTTTATTGTTTGGTTGGATCACTGATGAAGATCCAAAGTTCTGTTCATGTCTGAGTTTCTCCTCAGAAGGTCCATCACCTTCACAGACGTCTTCAGATCCTCTTTTTAAAAGTTAATTCAGTTTTTTTATGTGAAAAAAGATTCTGATGGTGAGGAGGAGGAGAATTCTTACACTTCACTCTGTGGGTCAGAACCCGGGTCCAAATGGACCTGAAGCTCGTCTCACTGATCTGGTTTCCTCTTGTCCAGATCTTGTTCTTGTTCTGGTCTGTTTTGGACTAAATAACATCCATCAAACTACCTCGGGGAGAATTTATGAGACCCGGTTTCCTCGAGAGGCACCGGCTGTCACGACATCGGACTCTTGTTGGCCTGAAACGGGGACACGGCGGTGACTCGAGGGGTCTGATAAAGGGGAGAAGCTGCTCCACCTCACGGGAACCTGACCACTGGAAGGACAGACGGACGGACGGACGGACGGACGGGGGGGAGGGCTTTGGTAAAACGGGGGCTCAGAGTGGTACCGCAGGTTCAGGTCAGGGACAAAGAACTCTGTCTCTCCTGATTGTGGGTCGGACGGGCCTCCATTGTTGTCCCCCTCATTAGAGACGGGACTCTGACCAGGACAGGAGACGTCATCGGGCTCAGCTCTCAAACTGGGACGGAAAATTACTTTATCATCCAGTCAGCGGGAAAACTGGGAGGTTAGTGATCGAGAGCTTCGGAGCGTCCGGATTCTGGGATTTCAGCGATGAGGAGAGGAAGCTACGACGACGCTGCAGCTGCTTTACGCCCTGTGAGTATTAATCAATCACTATTGATTATTAATTCAATGATAAACTGTAAAAATGTCTGTGGGAGCAGAGATGTGGACCAACCTGCTCCAGTGTTGAAATCTCTGGTTTGAATTTCTTCACATTTTTATTAAATACCCTGAAAATCTGAAATCTTTTTATTATTATTTATTTAAATAAAGTTCAAAATAATGAAACTCTGAATCCACGTTCCTGCAGAGTGAGTCTTAAATTAGGCTCTGATGTTTGAAACCAACACAATTTAAACTACACACACACACACACACACACACACACACACACACACACACACACACACACACACACACAGATACATTTCGACTTACTGTAAAATTCTCTGTGCAGAAAAACTTTAAAAAGTCTTTTTTTACACAGAAGCTCCACACTGACGCTCGTATTTTTGTTTTTCTGTTTGGAAAGAAAAAGAGAAAAAAAAACAAAGAAAATATTCAGTAAATTAAAAATCTGAACCATCTTCTCTGCGTCATTATGACGTGAGACGAACTTAAAACATGAAGTTAATCTGGACCTGATATTTTCCTTTTCCTGTGAACGAACAAAAGAGTTTAATGAGACGGACGTGTCCTGTTTTATTACAAAACAGAGAGGCTGAAAGAGAGAGAGAGAGAGAGAGAGGGAGAGAGAGAGAGGGAGAGAGAGAGAGAGAGAGAGAGAGAGAGAGAGAGAGAGAGAGAGAGAGAGAGAGAGAGAGAGAGAGAGGGAGAGAGAGACTGTATAAACTGTATATACTAAATCTCCCATAATAGTCTCTGATGTTAATGTCTTGGTGTTGCTAGGCAACGTTCCGTATGGCTACCGTTTAGTCGTCTGCTGCAGGTGTGTGACTGAGCATGTGCGGCTCTAATAACCGTTTTTAACCCTTTTGAACCTGCAGGTTTCTTCTGTTTGTCAAATTAAGAGTTTAGAAATAAAAACAAAAACCTTTTTATCTTTGAGTTTTAGTGAATATTTGAACTTTTCACTAAAATCTCATTTAACATTGAAGAGTTGGAAAATTCAAACCTGCGTTTGTCAAAGTTTGAGATGATCGAGTTCTTCTGTAGATTTAGTTTTTATTCTCTGTCTTTGCAGGACGTCAGACACCTGACCCAGAGGCGGCGCTCTGCCCCGTCGCTGGTCTTTGCGAAGGCGTTGGGGATGCCATGGTCTCCGATCAGGTTTGTTTTTTTTATGTCTGTTTTTAGAAATATTTGCACAATAATTTTAATTTTTTTTATAATTGATGCACTCATAACAGAAAAAACCATGTTCCATATTTTATGATTGATTAATTGGTTTATTATCAGGAGTTATAATGTCTGAAACTAAGATCCATATGTTGTTCCTTCATATATGTCCAAACTAACACTAACCTTTGGCACTTCTTCACAACATTACTGTGACCTCTGACCTGTAGGCAGCAGTCAGGTCCCTCTTTACTTCGATGAACTCTTTTTATCAGGATTTTATAAAATACAAACACATCAGTGTTCTGATCACAGGTTATATGAGGGTCCATCAGAACACAGTTCAGTCCATCTTAGACGGTACCGAGTCCAGAACCGTCCCTGCTGTTTCTGGATCATCTGTAGATGATGGTAAGAGGTCACACACTCTTTAGCCTCCAGACTCTAGGTGGCAGCACATGGAGAGAAATAACTCCAGGACACAGTGAACCTCTTTAAACGGTTTAAAAAAGACCCTCGCCGCGCCCCGCCCCCTGCCCCGCCCCCTGAAAACCACAGACTGTTAAATTGTGTCATTAAATGTCCCCTCAGGTCACAGACACAGATGTGGGGATTTTCTCAGCCACCTGCTCAGACTCGTATGACCTTTTTCTCACTCAGACGCCTCGTTCAGATATTTCACTTTTTAGATCCACAAAAACTGCAGGAACTTTAACGTTTAGTCAAGAACTCCTATTAGGACTTGAACTCGGCGTTGAAAACACCGACACCACGTCGTTCCTGAGTGTTTGTTTGGTGTTGACTTGTAGAAACTGGTCTGGTTTTTAGTTTATTCCAGTTTTCACTGTCATGACGCTGAAGTTTAAAACAACAAACACTTCAAAAAGGGAGTCGTAGTTTTACTTCTGAATCTGACGCCCACCTGTGGTCGCTCTCTCTCTCTCTCTCTCTCTCTCTCTCTCTCTCTCTCTCTCTCTCTCTCTCTCTCTCTCTCTCTCTCTTCAAACTCTGATCTTTATAGTCGAGTTTTTTAGGATTGAAGTTTTTTTATCCTGAACAGAAGTGACGACGGCAGCAGCAGTAAAAAAATCCACCCAGCTTGTTGTGAGTGACGCTGAGACACTTCAGCTCACCCACAGTCTTTCACTTTATTGTTTCACTTCATCCTGAACGTGTGGGCTCTTCATCACCTCCTCTTCCTCATCTGACGTTGAAACTTTAACCTTTTAAATCGGTCACACAGAGACCACCGCGGAGGCATCAGGTGGGCGAGTGTTCGCTGAACACAAGAAGAAGAAACGTCAGACCGACCCACTCTCACACCTCCACCTGTGCTCCTCCACCGGCGGGGGTCTTAGTGGGGGTTAGATTGACTGTGGTGGGACCGCCGGTGACGTGGAGAGACTACGATTATTACAAACAAACAAACATTTGTTGATTTAAATCTAATTATTACAAAACAGTAACGAGGATAAAACGATCGTATTCGCCGTATTTACAATAAAGTTCGTGTCCGACGACCAAACTTCAGATCTGTAAACTTACTAACGAGTAAATTGATTTACTGAGCAGCTAGAAAAATGACTGGACTGAGTTACTGAGAGGATTATAAAGCTAAAAGTAGGTGGTTAACATTCATCAAGAACACCGTCCTGTTTAATGTTGAGCAGAAAAATGAAACTTTTCTTTAGTTGGCGACAGAAATCGTGACTTTAGACAAAAACTGTAAATTAAATCCTGCAGATCTGAACGGTTCCGTGTCTGAAAAGTCGAGTTTTGACCCTGCAGCCCGAAAAGCTCCTCCCTCCCTGGATTTTCAGGTCACATCTCTTGTTTTGGGCCGATAGTGATTTCATTACAGAGCGTCACCATCTGGTTTACTGTGAGGGAAAGAACCTCAGTGTCAAACATTTGAATTTCTGCCAAGAACCCACAGAGAGCGAGGAGAGCGGCGACCAGAGTTGGTTTCAGAATGACTCGAACAAACAACTCTTGTTTTCACACCTTGACGTCTCTGTTGATTTGATGCACATTTCTGACGGCAGCAAAGACGAGCAGAAAATCGATTCTTCGTAGTCCCAGATTATGTTGTTATTGGATTTGTGGTTTTGACATATCAGGTGAGATGAAACGTAATCCACTAATAAGACCGAGAACAGCGGAGTCTGAGTTTCATCCCCTTCATCTTTGCAAAACAAATAACCCAAGAAGTGAATCAATACAAGAGTGGAAATGACTTTAATGAAATCAGATTTGATTATTGATCCCTGAAGGTAATAAGGCGTCAGACACAGATCTGACATTTTTCATGGTTATCTTCGCAGCGCAGAGTCAGAGGCGTTTTTATCCTCCGAGAAAACGTCAGTTTTTTTAAGATGCTCTCGGTAACCGTCAAGAACATTTCATATATTTCAGTTTGTTAATACAGTAACAGTCTTCGCTCGCCATGACCAGAACAGCTGTTTACGAACAGAATCGAACGCTCTCTTTATTTATAAAGACGGTTTCATCGATCAGGAATAAACATGATAAAGACAAACAGAAATATGTTTCTGAAGTTTCTGTTCAGAGTTCATGAAGATATCTCAGCTGCTTATAGGAGAAGGTTTGGGGTCAAACAGCCGGACTTTGTCTCAGATTCTAGACCAAGAAAAAACACGTGTCTACATTCAGCTGACGTGTCCTCAGTTATTCCCTTTTTTTGGTACTTTCTCTCTTTTTGGTGTCAGGGAGGAGGCGTCCTGTTTGGTCTCTGTGGACCAGAGTCCGTTTGTCCTCGGTCTGAGGAGTGAGAACGGAGATCTTCTGCTGAATGAGCGAGTTCAGGTCACTGAGGGCGCCAAGACCAAGGAGAGACACCTGTTCCTGTTCAGAGACGTGATCGTGTTCGCCAAACTCAAGTAAGCCGTGATCGTAGAAACGAACGTTCGTCATGATTGAAAGATGAAGTTTTTTAATGATCAGCTTCAAACCGTCACATGATTCTGTGTTTGTGTGGTTAGAATAAAACATTGAAAGAGGAACTAAAAAGGAAACTAGAGTCTGAACTGAGACTGTTGGGGAATCTCCGAGGAGTCAGTCTGTTTGTGAAGTTCTTTGGTATTCACCCAAAAACCTTCATATTAGAGAGGAAGTTCAACTCTGGTCACTAAAGTCAGAGATATTTATAAAGACGCAGGTTTACTCTTTTACAAAGTTAAAACTGTCTTTATCTACATTTTCTAATTTCTCCGGTTTGACGGAGATTTTAATGAAAATTTACCGTCTTTTGTATCGAACAGCAAAGACAGAAAGGTTTTTAAATAATCAAAGTGTTTTAATTCAGTCTGACTGCAGCTGTTTGTCACAGTGAGTGGAAGTTTTGTAGCTGTGGAGTGGGAGGACAATCACACTCATCTCTGAACCACAATCATCCCACGGTTACTGGAGGTGCAGAGCAGGAAAAACACTGATGAAGTAAACAGAGCGAGAGTCTTCAACGTTTAGATGCTGTTGACCAAAAACTCTCATCATGAAGTTCCTTTCATTTTCATCTCAGTGATGGAGACAGAAACAGTCAGAAAAGTCTTTGATCTTTTGACCGACTGATCAAAGTTCAACATGAAAACAGACAGAAAACTTTTATTAAGATTCCAAACAGACAAATATGAGTCTGAACTCTGTTTTTATAAACGAAAATCCAACCGCCTCTGCGTTAAAAGTCAAATACGAGCCGCTGACCGCTGTTATAAACACGCCGGACCTGCAGGTGGTGGTATTTACCAAAACGTTTGACTCATTCTATCCAATCAGAGCGAGCGTCTCTTTCTCGTCATCACTTCTCCAAACAAAAACATAACGCCGCGTCGATGGTTCATGACCGAACAAAGAGGTGGAAAAGCTTTTCAACCAGGTGAACAAAGAGACACGACAAAGCTGGAAGACGGTTCTTTGGTGGAGACATCCTGACGTCAACAAAGTTAGCGTTAGCTGTCGCAGACGTTTGGGAATCTATGTCCAAACAAAGTTTTCAAAAACTGTTTTTAATGACGTAATCCTGCAGTTTCATGTGGACGATAGGATAATAAACGTATAAATATATTTGTATTCATTTGAGCAAATCCCCGTCTGCGCGTGGAAACAGAGAGTTATCCAAGGTCACTCTGAGGAGAGGCGTCTCTCAAACTAGACGTAAGCTTTTAGACTAGATCTCCTCGTTCTGTTTGACAGGGAAGGAGGTCGACCTGGTTAGCTCCTCCTCCTCCACCAAGACCCAAATACACAAATGTTAACTACACAATAATCCAACAACCAACTAAACACAAGAGACACGACTCTGACGAAGGGATGATGAAAAAAAATCTGTATTTCTATAAAAGAGTCCGACTCTCCGGTTCGCAGGACGAGTTTGTCTGAGGCGAGAAAGTTTCTGTTGTTGTTTTAGGGAATTATCGACAGTTTTCATGTTTCCAGGGAACAGAATCACTGATTTTAGTCAGTGAGGTTATGAAGAAAATACAGTAATGGTTGATAATCAAAATATTAGATAACAAATATAAATGATTATTCAAGAGGAGGAAAATGGGGAACAGCCCTAAACCGGAGGGTCGATGGTCCTTTAACCTTTTACTGAAACAGACAGAAGATATTTTCTTTCTCACGTAACGTTGAGGTTCATTTTTCATCCAAACACATGATAAGTGTTAAAAAATGATGATTTTTGCTCTTTTATAATTAAAAACAGGTTCAAGTCCGTCACACAAAAACACGAAACCATTTTATAAAAGTGAAATAAAAACAGAAAAACCTTCTTTTCTGTTTTTATTCTCATTCAGGTCGACTGCCAGCTACCGTCTGAAGCACAGAGTGAGTCTGGAGGATATCTGGATTTATGGATTTGAAGATGAGGACGGACGGGGAGAGAGGAGGGACATTGACGTGGCGGTGACCATCGTCCTGGCCTGGGCGCTCTCCTTTCATTTGGTCTGTTTCCGGTGAGCAGACGTGATGTTTCTTTTCTAATATTTTAATATTGAAAAATATTTTAGTTCCTTGTCTGATTCACTGCTTGTCTTTATTTTGTTCATGAGATCGCTGCTTAAAAATCGTGGTATTGAAACTTAATATTTATTGGTAATAGATCAGATATTTGAACCAAAGTGATCATGTTTGTCTCGGCTGAAGCTAACCTCCGATGTTTAATGGATGTCAGAGAGTTCAGGTCTCATTGATCAGGAGTTTAGCACAAGATCACTTATCTTAACGTGTTTATATGATAATATTTACACCAGGTTAGTCAAAGGATTTTCTGATGTCTGCATTTTAAAAACTGGACAAAAATAAAGATTCAAATCTCTGAAACTCTGATTCAGTCAGCTCTCTGTGTTCAAACATGTCATGGTCAAAAATAAGAAATGGTTTTAAGTTTATTAAACTATGATCACATGATAAAAACACTTTGACTGTGTTGATGTTTGAGTTTTGGAGATCAGGTGTTTCTGGTGATGTTTCCACATGATTCCTGATCGTCTCCGTTTTTCTGTCTTTATTACGTTACAGAGACGCTTAAAAACACGAGTGACTGGATTTGGATGATTAAAGATGTTAATTTTATTTTCTTCATGTTGATATAACAGCTCACGTACTTCAACAGGATCTTTCTTGTTTTTTTTCTAGTTTTGTCAGTTATTAGTTCAACAAATCTGAGCGACAGGATTCTCATAAATGATCATGTGATTTTTGACCTTTCATGAAACAGAAGTAAGAAAAAGAAAGTCATCTCTGCAGCTTCACAACAGGCAAAAACAGGAAGTTGTGAAGTTGACCAACAAACCGAATTCTCCACGACAGTTGGTCAACATCAGCTGATTTTATCAGGAGACACTTTTTCAGTCAAAGACTCTCCACGATGTTTTTGACCTGAAAGGTGTCTCCCATCTGTCCTCTCACAACAGACGCCTCAGTGTTCTTCATCATCATCTTCATCAGCTTCGATATTTTCTTAAAGTCTAAAAGTTTATTTTTTTTAATGAGGTTTCAGTCCAAAGAGGACGATGAACCCTGCGGTGGTTTGAAGTTACTTTAGAAGAATAAAGGTCATTTCTGGTGATTTGAACTCTCAGAGCTCCTCGTTTTTCAGACTCTAGTTCTGCAGACGGCGAAGAGGCTGCAGGTTATTGAAAAGTGGAACTCAGGTGTTTTTGTCGTCATCATGTTTTTCCGATGATGGTCTGAGAGCTGAGGTCGAAATGTTAGAGTGAAGGAGGAAGTGGAAGGTGTCTGGTCGGGGAGCTGCCGTGACGCAGCTTCCTGTTCCCATGACTGAGTGACACTTTCCACCCGAGTTGTTAAAAGAGTGTGAGCGCGCTCATTTGGACTCATTCATCCTCCGAGTGTCTCTGTGTGGATTAGTAACTCGTACCATGTTGTTATTTCGCCGACAGCTCGCCTGAGGTGAAAGAACGCTGGTTAGATACGCTCCACAGGTGAGAGAGTTTCTTTTATTTCTCATTTATCTTCCTCTTCTCTCCAAGATGAACATCGATGGCGCTTAGAAACTCGGACTTTAAAAGAGATTTGGCTTCTTACCAAACGAACACGACTGTAACCCTGTCCAGCTGGAATAAGTCGTAAATTTGTCAAATGTATTTTATCTTGATATAGAAAAACTAAAGACGCACAAGCGAGAGTTGGCTGTGCTTCTCCGCCTCTGGACGTCCTCATGAAGGTGTTGAGCGGCAGCATCGCAGTAAGTTTGATCGGAAAACCTTCGACTTTTTTAACGTGAAGCTTCCTCCGAACTCGCTCTCACTGGTTTCTCCTTTTTAGACTAAAACTCTAACAGGAGGAGGAATGGATCCATTTATCGAGTCTCCCAAAGATGTGAGTTAACTCTTTGTTTTCATTTGCTTTAAAAGAGAAAGACCCTGAACCCTCGTACTAAATAAATACATGTTTAAAATGGAGTTTTAATGGTAATAAAAAAGCAATGACAAAGATTTTAAACTAAGATGAATAAAGATGCACACGGTTATGGGCTTTTTGTTGTTTTACACCCTCGTCTGTTCACGGCGTGATCGACAAATGAGAAAATCAAGCCCCTCCCTGCTTCCCGTTCCTTTTTTCATCCTCATCACCATGTTGTCGTTTCTTTATGTTGTTACCAGGGAGATATAAATATATCTGCTCAACTGAAGCAGTTACATAACCGGGAGGACAAGCCGACACAGCCCATTGGTGAGTTTAAAAGTGCCTGTTATTGAAAGAGGGAGGGGCTTAATGACGGCGTGAAAATGAGAAACCACAAAGTTAGAAATCTGACGCTAATAAGAAAGTGGAAACTCTTCCACATGCCGTGACAGAAACTGAAGAAACGTTTGTTCTTAAGAATGAAACTTTTTCAGAAACCAAGTGGAACCTGGTGAAGAAACTGAGGAAAGGATCGAGTTTCAGTGTCAAAGTTCACCGATCAGATCCAGGTCCGAAGATCCAGCTGTTTGGACAACCGCTCTGCAAGATCAACCCGGACCACGGCTCGCTTCCAAAACCAGTCCTGGTGAGTCGGTTTTCTAAACGTCTCTGAGGAACAACAAGAACCTTTTCACTTCTTCACCTGCTTCTTTAACTTCTCAGTTTTATGCTCTGGTTTTTTTTTTGGGGGGGGCGGGGTTTATAGGTCAGCTGGTTAGAATGAAGGTGTAAACAACAAACACCTGCTCTGCTGACCTTTAATACACAGACGCCGTTTCTAAGAATTAACCAATGAGAGCAGGAAGCCGTTCAACCACACGAGCCGCACATCGTTCAGTCTACGCTCAGAACAGCGAGTTTGTTTTTGCTGAAGCAGACTGACCTTTAACCTTTAACCTGCTAACCCGTGTCTTCACAGGAGATGCTGCTGCTGCTGAGGAAGAAAGGTCCGTCCACAGAGGGGGTGTTTCGTAAACCGTGCAACAACAAAAAAATGAAGGACCTCCGGGATCAGCTCAACAGTGGTCAGGAGGTCGACCTGGAGAACCAGCCCGTGGTTCTGCTCGTCGGGCTCCTCAAAGTGAGTTTTTGGAAAGATGAAGTTTTTATTCCACGTCTGAAAAATGTTGAAGCTGCTGCTGCTGAAAACTTTAGTCCAAACAGACGACGTGACGTCGCCTCCCGTCACTCTGAAGTTTGTGCCGTAGTCTTCGGTGGGGGGGGGTTGTGATGACGCTCTGCTTCAACAGCAGACCCCCTCCCATTGGCTGTATCAGGTGTCAATCATTGAAAACATGAACCCCCTAATAACTTTTAAAAATGGAGCTGTACAGAAAAAAGAGGACTTGAGCACAAACCAGTCTGACAGTAACTACATGTCAACATCACAACCAGGGGGGAGAAACATTTATATTCTGTGTCATTCATTTAGAAAGTTTGTCCATAAGGAGGCGGGGCTTATGACTGTCACAGTAGTTTAATTACAAAGATGTTTGATGGTATTTGGTCGTGTCTTCATGGTTTTTATTCCTGTTTTCTGACCTGATGAGTTGAAGAGTTCAGGTTGTTTGTCTTTCTAAATGTCGCTCATTATCAGTCTGTCTGTCCGTCTGTCTGTTGTAGAGTTTCCTGAAGGAACTTCCTGGCAGCCTGCTGGTATCTGAACTTTACGATGACTGGATAAGAGCTCTCGACAACGAAGACACCCAGCAGAGAACTGCGGAAATGATCAAGTAAGTCATCAATACTTTTGATTGACTCCTGAATCTGAAATGAGCTGCAGCTTATTTTTCATGACATGTTGATATGAGAGCGTGTCTTTAACAGCAGTTACTGTTGTTCTTAGTGAAGTTGTTTGAATGTGTGAAGGCTGAACATAAACCACTTCCTTCTTTTCTCGTTTGTTTAAAAAAAGGAAGACAGCCGTAGAAAAAAGTGTGCCAAGCTCACGTCTTCTTCCTGTTCTCTTTTCTCTGGACCCGCCGATAACAGGGTGGTAGACACGCTGCCTGCAGCCAACAAGCTCCTCCTGCAGCACCTCGCCTGCGTCCTCCATCACATCCTGCAGAGCGCTGACATCAACAAGATGGACGCCTACAACCTGGCGGTGTGTATTGCCCCCACGCTGCTGCAGCTGGATGTCTCCCTTCTGGACGAGCAGGAGAAGTTAAAAAAAGTAAGAAGTTCAGTTCTGACTGCTCTTTCTCACTTTGAAGCTTTGTGGTCCTCGGAGCAGAAAACCTCAGAGCAGTTTCAGACAAACTCCGTACAGACTCGGAGGAAACGTAACGAGAACGAAAAGAAACGAGGATCCTGAACTAAAGAAGCGCCGCCCTGTCTCTGTTTTTATAAAACTGTTGGACGTTTAATTAACATTAATTATAACTGTATTAATAAACATTAATTACTGTACTGTATAATAACTGTATTAATAAACACTTCTGATAGATTCCTGTAAGAGACTGACTGTGTGTGTTTTTTCTCTGAAGGTCACAGAACTCACCAAGTTCCTGATTGAACGATGTGAGATCCTCGGAGAAAACATCCCGAACCTGCTCGACACGGACGAAGGTGAGAGTTCAAGAAACAACAACTCTCTATCCTGTCTGTGTGTGTCTGTGTGTCTGTGTGTGTGTGTGTCTGTGTGTGTGTGTATGTGTGTGTGTGTGTCTGTGTGTGTGTGTGTGTGTGTGTGTGTGTGTGTATCTGTGTGTGTGTGTGTGTGTGTCTGTGTATGTGTGTGTGTGTCTGTGTCTGAGTGAGTGTGTGTGTGTGTGTGTGTATCTGTGTGTGTGTGTGTGTGTGTCTGTGTATGTGTGTGTGTGTCTGTGTCTGAGTGAGTGTGTGTGTGTGTGTGTGTGTGTGTGTGTCTGTGTATGTGTGTGTGTGTCTGTGTCTGTGTGTGTGTCTGTGTGTGTGTGTGTGTGTGTGTGTGTCTGTGTCTGTGTGTGTGTTTGTGTGTGTCTGTGTGTGTGTGTGTCTGTGTGTGTGTCTGTGTGTGTCTGTGTGTGTGTCTGTGTGTGTCTGTGTGTGTGTCTGTGTCTGTGTGTGTCTCTGTGTGTGTCTGTGTCTGTGTGTGTCTGTGTGTGTGTCTGTGTGAGTCTGTGTGTGTGTGTGTGTGTCTGTGTCTGTGTGTGTCTGTGTGTGTGTCTGTGTGCGTGTGTCTGTGTGTGTGTGTCTGTGTCTGTGTGTGTGTTTGTGTGTGTCTGTGTGTGTGTCTGTGTGTGTCTGTGTGTGTGTCTGTGTGTGTCTGTGTGTGTGTCTGTGTCTGTGTGTGTCTCTGTGTGTGTCTGTGTCTGTGTGTGTCTGTGTGTGTGTCTGTGTGAGTCTGTGTGTGTGTCTGTGTCTGTGTCTGTGTCTGTGTCTGTGTGTGTCTGTGTGTGTGTCTGTGTGTGTGTCTGTGTGTGTCTGTGTCTGTGTGTGTGTCTGTGTGTGTCTGTGTGTGTGTCTGTGTGTGTGTCTGTGTGTGTCTGTGTCTGTGTGTGTGTCTGTGTGTGTCTGTGTGTGTCTGTGTCTGTGTCTGTGTGTGTCTGTGTGTGTGTCTGTGTGTGTCTGTGTGTGTGTCTGTGTCTGTGTGTGTCTCTGTGTGTGTCTGTGTCTGTGTGTGTCTGTGTGTGTGTCTGTGTGAGTCTGTGTGTGTGTCTGTGTCTGTGTCTGTGTCTGTGTCTGTGTGTGTCTGTGTGAGTCTGTGTGTGTGTCTGTGTCTGTGTCTGTGTCTGTGTCTGTGTGTGTCTGTGTGTGTGTCTGTGTGTGTGTCTGTGTGTGTCTGTGTCTGTGTGTGTGTCTGTGTGTGTCTGTGTGTGTCTGTGTCTGTGTGTGTCTGTGTGTGTCTCTGTGTGTGTCTGTGTCTGTGTGTGTCTGTGTGTGTGTCTGTGTGAGTCTGTGTGTGTGTGTGTGTCTGTGTCTGTGTGTGTCTGTGTCTGTGTGTGTCTGTGTTTGTGTGTGTGTGTGTGTGTGTGTGTGTGTCTGTGTGTGTCTGTGTGTGTTTCTGTGTGTGTCTGTGTGTGTGTCTGTGTGTGTCTGTGTGTGTGTCTGTGTCTGTGTGTGTCTCTGTGTGTGTCTGTGTCTGTGTGTGTCTGTGTGTGTGTCTGTGTGAGTCTGTGTGTGTGTCTGTGTGTGTGTCTGTGTCTGTGTCTGTGTCTGTGTCTGTGTGTGTCTGTGTGTGTGTCTGTGTGTGTGTCTGTGTGTGTCTGTGTCTGTGTGTGTGTCTGTGTGTGTCTGTGTGTGTCTGTGTCTGTGTGTGTCTGTGTGTGTCTCTGTGTGTGTCTGTGTCTGTGTGTGTCTGTGTGTGTGTCTGTGTGAGTCTGTGTGTGTGTGTGTGTCTGTGTCTGTGTGTGTCTGTGTCTGTGTGTGTCTGTGTGTGTGTGTGTGTGTGTGTGTGTGTGTGTCTGTGTGTGTCTGTGTGTGTCTGTGTGTCTGTCTGTTTGTGTCTCAAGTAAAACGTTTTTCTCTCAAACTTCATAAATCTGAAAACTTCTGAAGCTCAGTTTTATTGTCCGTTCTTTGCAGACTCCTTGTCTTCTCAACATCATGACTCGGCGTACGACAGCACCGACCCTGATGGAGATGGCGAGGCGGGGGACTGTGCGTACACCACACATGGAGGGAGGGGGTCGTCTTCCTCCCTTGGTCCAACTTCTTCCTCCTCCTCTTGGCCAGCAAACTCTTCCCTCGACACGAAGTCACCGTTCAACCGCCGCTGCTCGGAGCCCATCATCCTCCTCTCTGCCGACCTCAACAGTGTGTGTGTCCACGCCAGGAGCCATGACGACTGCTCGGTGAAGAGGAGGGTCTTCGAGGAGCAGCCGTTAAAGAAGCCGATCTCAGATGACTCTTTCCTGCTTAAAGGACAAGGTGGAGTGAGTCAGGTGTTAATGTTTCCAAAACTCAGCAGCAGTTCCAACATGGCAGGTCATCACAACTGCTCATGTTCTTCCTTAGAGAGCGCTGCTTCCAACCAATCAGATAGTTCTGTTTTCACAAGCTCTCCAATAGGGTCTCCGACCGGCCACAGGAAAGCAAACAACCAGCCAGTTAGAGCTCAGAAGGACATTCCCCGACCAATCTCAGATGAGAAAAGACGTTCACAGTCGATGAGAGTGGCCACAAAAGTCCTGCTCAGGACCAGGAGTTTAGGAACCTTCAGAGGAAGCAGCATGAAGAGAGAGTCCCAGAAAGACAACGCTTTCCCGTGTGAAACTCTGCAGGAGGACTCTCAGAGTGAAGCTGACCCACCAGCTGATCTCCTGCACAGGCCACGCCCCCTCTCAGCCATCGAAGTGTTTAAGCACGTCGACAGCCGGCTGCCCTGCAGCCCTCCAACGTATGAACATGCGGTTCTGAGTGCAGGTCTTCCTCCACATTACAGATCTATGACTGTGCAGGACGCCGTACAGTTAGAGAGAAGGTCCCGCCCACCCTCAATAAATCTGGACTTCCCATCTACCTGCTCCACCAATCAGTACATGGACTGTTTAAGTCAAGTCAATGTGGTCGAGCGGCGGCCTCCTTTCCGACAGAGAGCGATGTCTGAGTCTGTGTCGACACGTCACCATGAGGTCGTGACACGGAGATGCAGTCAGCCCGTGTTCGAGGAGTTTTCATACGCCAAGGAGTCATACGTTTGATTGAATCTGTTAAAGAACGACTTTTGTGTTGAAACGTTTGTTAGTGTGACGTTTAAAGGGAGCAGAAAAAACAACAACGTACTCTTGAGTGTATCTCCGTGTTTTAGGACGTGTTTCCTTTTGTAAGCGGCAGAGTTCGGCTTCAGATCATTTTTCTTTTTGTAATTTTGATGTTTCCCTCTGAGCAGCTCTGACTTCAGCACATGTTTGTTTTTGAACACACGTATAATCCAGTGAATGTCAATAATGTGTGGCCTGTAGGGTTGCATGTTCTTGGTAGTACTATTTAGAGTACAATCTTAAAAGAATATGTCGTTACTATGATAGATATTTAGTCTATCACAATGAAGCTATGACACAGGTTACTGTGGATCAAATATGCTATGACTTTTCCCTCTTTAACTTAGTGCTTTGTACAGAAATGAAGGTCGTGCACTTTTTTGGGCTTTGTGTAAATTTTTCTCATCTTTGGTCTTTTTGTCTTTCACTACATCACGGCACTTTTTCTCATGACAACTTATCTTATATTAAAGAAATGACAGATGAAAATAGATGACTAATCTTTAAATGATGAATGGTGTGAGGAAATGGATGGAACCACTCAATAAAAGATAATTGAAATGATAATTAATTGCAAAGACAATAAATTAGGTGCATTGTTTTAGTTTATTCTACAGATTTTCATATTAATGTCGTGTTCCTGACTCACTCTTTCAACTTCAGTCATTACAAGTAAAATGGGGGTTGAGTTAGTTGCATAACATGTGCACAGAAACATGCTGTTCTGACACTCCAACAGAAGGAAACCAGAGATGGTCACATGAGCGGATTTGGTTTTTCTCTGAATTGCAGTTCCTCCTTATTTTGACTTCGTATGTGCAGTCATTAACTTCCTTTTTGAAGTGTTGCAACACAATATGTTCTCTCCAAATAAGATCATTTATGTCTTCTAGAACCTGCTCTGGAATTTAAACTGTTATTTGTTTATCTTGTGATAGGTAAAATTAATAATTGTCACCTTTTAGCAGTTGTAGTAAGGAGGATAAGAAGAGATCCAGGATCTCACATACTTTTAATCATTTGTGACGTTTAAGAGATCGCTGTTGCCTGCTTTAAGATCACGGTTTAGTCCAAGGTGAAATTTAAGAAAACCAAACATGTACGCAGAGATGTCTTTGTAGGTCCTTCATGGTTGTGAATGTACAAAAGATGCTCCCTCTGTGCATGTTTGTTTCATTGTGTTTTGCCACGCCGGTGAGTTCTTACACTGCCGAGGTCCCTGAACGCACCACACTCGTACCGCTCGGCTCAAAGCGAACATCGGCTGAACTATCCCTCCGTATATCTACAGTGTGTCGTCCACTGAACCGTAAGTTACGACGTTTACTCCTGTGTTACACTTTGTGGATGTTGATCCATATGAGTCTTTAATTACTTAACTGTAGTTTTTGCCTTTAGTTTGTATGATATAATGAGCTACTAATGCTAATTCATGCCGCTAATGAGCGACATGGGAGCTAGCTGTGAATTAGCAGTAGCCTCAAAGGTTAAAGCTACGATGTTTCTAATTTCTGTTTAATTATTGCACTTATTAATGCTGAGTCTAAATTTAATTAATAATCTAGAGCTGTATCATTCTTTTCTGATTACAGATATACATCTACTTCACAATGTTTATACAGAGGTCATAAGAGGGTAAAACTTTATTGCTGGACTCAGTTTTCATACAATATTATGAGATTTTTATGATAATATACTATGACAAATAAATGATACCATACTGTTTTGATCGTACTATACTATGACAAGTTTATCAAATTCAGTTTTTTTTTTGACATAAGATGCCATGACATTTCTGAAAACAAAATAAAATATGGAATCTTTTTAGGTACTACACTATGACTTTTTTTATCATACTTCACTATGACATATTTCACATACTATACTATAATGTATATTTAACATACTATACCAAAACAATTTGTAACATAATACTAAAACATTTTTATTATACTATAGTTTGTCATTTTTTAACATACTATTCTATGACATTAAATTGATTTTTTTTAGATACTATACAATGACATTTTTTTCATAATATAGTGAGACATTTTTTTAGATGCTTTACTATACTTTTTTAAAAACTATACTATAACAGTTTTTTAAAAATATACTACGACATTTTCTAAAATACTTTACAATGACTTTTTTATCATACCATACTGCTACATTCTCACATTCCAACTAGGATTTTTTTAACATACTATACGATGACCCAAAATATTCCATGATATTCTTAAGCTAATGTACTATTAATTTGTTTTTTCTCATACCTCACCATGACCTTTTATTCCATACTCTACTTTGACATTTTTATCATACTACAATTTGACATTTTTTAAAATCATACTATTCCACATTTTTTTATTATACTTAACTAACATTTTATAATAACATGTTTATTATACATACATTTTTAACAGAATATACTGACATTTTTATATTACACTAAACTAGGACTTTTTTCTAACATTGTATTCTATGACATTTTTTTCCATATTATACTATGATGTTTTTAACACACATTTCTGATTTTTTTAACATACTATACCGAGAAATTATATCATAACATACTATGAATGTATTTTATTATATACTATATATGATGTTTTTGATCATACTATAGGATGAATTTTTTATCATACATTACTACTACATTTTTAACATGAAATTTTGATCATACTCTCCTTATTTATTATACTGCACTATGACATTTTTTATCATACTGTACTATAAGTTTTTGTTACATACTATGCTGTGGCATTTTTAATCATTCCATAAGCTGCCATTTTTTAAATAAGTTTATAATGCCATTTTTTTAAACATTTTATAATATTGCATTTTTAATCATACTATACTATGACATGTTTATCATACTATACTGTGACATTTTTTAACATACTATTCTATGATATTTTTATCATACCGTACTGACTTTTTTTTAACAAACTATACCATGACCTTTTTCAACGTACTAAACTACGACATTTTTGATCGCACCATGGCATAAAATTTAATCGTAGTATACAATGACATATTTCACATACTTTACAACAATATATTTTTAATCATACTACACTATTATGACTGCACCAAACTATTTATATTTTTAACATACTATGCTATAACTTTTTTAACATACTTTGCTATGACAATTTTATCAAATTATAGTATGATGTTGTTTTTTATCGTACTATATTTTAAGATTTTTTTCACATACTATATTAAATTTTTTCATACTATACTGTGACATTTTTATCATGCTATACTTTGACATTTTTTTGAACATACTACAATACAACATTGTTGAATATACTAACCCATTAGATTTTTAACATCCTATACAATGAAATTCTAAATCCTTTTATACTGTGACCTAAAGCCCAGTCAGGCCTCCTGGGAACAGCGAAGGACTGGCAGCTAAGGGTGGACCTGGGAAAACAGCTGAAATTCCCTGAAAACATTGTGGAAACCAGACTTAGGCCAGACATCGTCCTAGTCTCAGAGACATCCAAGCAAGTCATCATGTTGGAGCTAACAGTGCCGTGGGAGGAGAGAATGGAAGAAGCAAGTGAGAGAAAGAGAGAGAAATATGCAGAGCTGGTGGAGGAGTGCCGCAAACGGGGGTGGCGTGCACGATGCCTACCGATTGAGGTGGGGGGAAGAGGCTTTGCAGGGAAATCACTCTGCAGGGCCTACAGTCTCCTGTGCATCACAGGGGCACGGAGGAGGAGAGCCATCTCTACAGCTTCTGAGGCTGCAGAGAGAGCCTCACAATGGCTGTGGATCCAGAGGGATAAGCAGTGGTTGAGCGCTTCATGGACACGGGCCGGGAACTGATCACCCCGGTCAGGTCATCCGGGTGAGGGGGTCTGAAGTTGAAAGACCCGAAACCCCCCGTGAGCTCAGGCACTATCACTGATGACGTGTCCAAGAAATGCATGACTAGATTTATGTAAGAATCATGACATTTTTTTGAGAAACTACACTATGACAGTACAACAAACTATATTATATTTTAAAACTAATATACTGACTTTTTTTTAACATATTGTGCTATGACATTATGATCTTACTTTAACAAGACTTTGAAACATAAAATACAATACATTTTTAAACATACTATACAATTACATTTTAATTATACTTAACTATGACTTTTTTTACATCCCATACTATGACACTTTTATCATACTTTACCATGACATATTGTAACTTACTAAACAATGACATTTTTCGAACGAAAAGAAAACATGATAGTATACTATGACATTTTAAACATCTAATACTATGGCATTTTGATCAGACAATACTATGGCATGTTTTTTCATTTTAAAAACAGAATTTTATTTTCATTTTAAAATGTGAAATTTTCGTCATAGTATACTATGTCGTTTTTTTTCAGGCTAAAATATGATTTTTTTTCTTTCAGGCTAAAATATGATATTTTTAATATCCTTTGTGATGTCATTTAGATCAGACAATACTATGGCATGTTTTTTCATTTTAAAAACAGAATTTTATTATCACTCTAAAATGTGAAATTTTCGTCATAGTATACTATGTGGTTTTTTTTCAGGCTAAAATATGATCTTTTTCTTTCAGGCTAAAATATGATATTTTTAATATCCTTTGTGATGTCATTTTGATCAGACAATACTATGGCATGTTTTTTCATCCTAAAATCAGAATTTTATTTTCAGCCCAAAATCTGAAATTTTCAACATAGTATACTATGTCGTTTTTTTTTCGGACCAAAATATGAATTTTTCATTTTCCGGCTAAAACATTACATTTTTAACATCCGTTTCTATGGCAATTTGATCAGACAATACTATGGCATGTTTTTTCATCCCAAAATCTGAATTTTATTTTCAGCCTAAAATCTAAAATTTTCGACATAGTATACTATGTCGTTTTTTTTCGGACCAAAATATGAATTTTTCATTTTCCGGCTAAAATATTACATTTTTAACATCCGTTTCTATGGCAATTTGATCAGACAATACTATGGCATGTTTTTTCATCCTAAAATCTGAATTTTATTTTCAGCCTAAAATCTGAAATTTTCGACATAGTATACTATGTCGTTTTTTTTCGGACCAAAATATGAATTTTTCATTTTCCGGCTAAAACATTACATTTTTAACATCCGTTTCTATGGCAATTTTATCAGACAATACTATGGCATGCTTTTTCATCCTTAAATCTGAATTTTATTTTCAGCCTAAAATCTAAAATTTTCGACATAGTATACTATGTCGTTTTTTTTCGGACCAAATATGAATTTTTCGTTTTCCCGCTAAAATATGACATTTTTAACATCCGTTTCTATGGCAATTTGATCAGACAATACTATGGCATGTTTTTTCATCCTAAAATCTGAATTTTATTTTCACTCTAAAATCTAAAATTTTCGACATAGTATACTATGTCGTTTTTTTTTTTCGGACCAAAACATGAATTTTTCATTTTCCCGCCAAAATATGACATTTTTAACATCCGTTTCTATGGCAATTTGATCAGACAATACTATGGCATGTTTTTTCATCCTAAAATCTGAATTTTATTTTCAGCCTAAAATCTGAAATTTTCGACATAGTATACTATGTCGTTTTTTTTTCGGACCAAAATATGAATTTTTCATTTTCCCGCCAAAATATGACATTTTTAACATCCGTTTCTATGGCAATTTGATCAGACAATACTATGGCATGTTTTTTCATCCTAAAATCTGAATTTTATTTTCAGCCTAAAATCTGAAATTTTCAACATAGTATACTATGTCGTTTTTTTTCGGACCAAAATATGAATTTTTCATTTTCCGGCTAAAACATTACATTTTTAACATCCGTTTCTATGGCAATTTTATCAGACAATACTATGGCATGCTTTTTCATCCTTAAATCTGAATTTTATTTTCAGCCTAAAATCTAAAATTTTCGACATAGTATACTATGTCGTTTTTTTTAGGACCAAATATGAATTTTTCGTTTTCCCGCTAAAATATGACATTTTTAACATCCGTTTCTATGGCAATTTGATCAGACAATACTATGGCATGTTTTTTCATCCTAAAATCTGAATTTTATTTTCAGCCTAAAATCTGAAATTTTCGACATAGTATACTATGTCGTTTTTTTTTTCGGACCAAAATATGAATTTTTCGTTTTCCCGCTAAAATATTACATTTTTAACATCCTATTCAATGGCATTGTGATCAGACAATACTATGGCATGTTTTTTCATCCTAAAATCTGAATTTTATTTTCACTCTAAAATCTGAAATTTTCGACATAGTATACTATGTCGTTTTTTTTTTTCGGACCAAAACATGAATTTTTCATTTTCCCGCCAAAATATGACATTTTTAACATCCGT